GTGGAGAGTGTCTGTGTAAGTGTGGCTGGCTGAGTGACCTGATGTGGAGAGTGTCTGTGTAAGTGTAGCTGGCTGAGTGTCCTGATGTGGAGAGTGTCTGTGTAAGTGTAGCTGGCTGATTGTCCTGATATGGAGAGTGTCTGTGTAAGTGTAGCTGGCTGAGTGTCCTGATATGGAGAGTGTCTGTGTAAGTGTGGCTGGCTGAGTGTCCTGATGTGGAGAGTGTCTGTGTAAGTGTAGCTGGCTGAGTGTCCTGATGTGGAGAGTGTCTGTGTAAGTGTGGCTGGCTGAGTGACCTGATGTTAAAAGTGTCTGTGTAAGTGCGGCTGGCTGAGTGTCCTGATGTGGAGAGCGTCTGTGTAAGTGTAGCTGGCTGAGTGTCCTGATGCGGAGAGTGTCTGTGTAAGTGTAGCTGGCTGATTGTCCTGATGTGGAGAGCATCTGTGTAAGTGTGGCTGGCTGAGTGACCTGATGTTAAAAGTGTCTGTGTAAGTGTAGCTGGCTGAGTGTCCTGATGTGGAGAGTGTCTGTGTAAGTGTAGCTGGCTGATTGTCCTGATGTGGAGAGTGTCTGTGTAAGTGTAGCTGGCTGATTGTCCTGATATGGAGAGTGTCTGTGTAAGTGTGGCTGGCTGAGTGTCCTGATATGGAGAGTGTCTGTGTAAGTGTGGCTGGCTGAGTGTCCTGATGTGGAGAGTGTCTGTGTAAGGGTAGCTGGCTGAGTGTCCTGATATGGAGAGTGTCTGTGTAAGTGTAGCTGGCTGATTGTCCTGATATGGAGAGCGTCTGTGTAAGTGTAGCTGGCTGAGTGTCCTGATATGGAGAGCGTCTGTGTAAGTGTAGCTGGCTGATTGTCCTGATGTGGAGAGTGTCTGTGTAAGTGTGGCTGGCTGATTGTCCTGATGTGGAGAGTGTCTGTGTAAGTGTAGCTGGCTGATTGTCCTGATATGGAGAGTGTCTGTGTAAGTGTGGCTGGCTGAGTGTCCTGATATGGAGAGTGTCTGTGTAAGTGTAGCTGGCTGATTGTCCTGATATGGAGAGTGTCTGTGTAAGTGTAGCTGGCTGATTGTCCTGATGTGGAGAGTGTCTGTGTAAGTGTAGCTGGCTGATTGTCCTGATACAGAGAGTGTCTGTGTAAGTGTGGCTGGCTGAGTGTCCTGATATGGAGAGTGTCTGTGTAAGTGTAGCTGGCTGATTGTCCTGATATGGAGAGTGTCTGTGTAAGTGTAGCTGGCTGAGTGTCCTGATGTGGAGAGCATCTGTGTAAGTGTAGCTGGCTGATTGTCCTGATGTGGAGAGTGTCTGTGTAAGTGTAGCTGGCTGATTGTCCTGATATGGAGAGTGTCTGTGTAAGTGTAGCTGGCTGAGTGTCCTGATATGGAGAGTGTCTGTGTAAGTGTAGCTGGCTGATTGTCCTGATATGGAGAGTGTCTGTGTAAGTGTAGCTGGCTGAGTGTCCTGATATGGAGAGTGTCTGTGTAAGTGTAGCTGGCTGATTGTCCTGATGTGGAGAGTGTCTGTGTAAGTGTGGCTGGCTGAGTGACCTGATGTGGAGAGTGTCTGTGTAAGTGTGGCTGGCTGAGTGTCCTGATGTGGAGAGTGTCTGTGTAAGTGTAGCTGGCTGAGTGTCCTGATATGGAGAGTGTCTGTGTAAGTGTAGCTGGCTGATTGTCCTGATATGGAGAGTGTCTGTGTAAGTGTAGCTGGCTGATTGTCCTGATGTGGAGAGTGTCTGTGTAAGTGTGGCTGGCTGAGTGTCCTGATATGGAGAGTGTCTGTGTAAGTGTGGCTGGCTGATTGTCCTGATGTGGAGAGTGTCTGTGTAAGTGTGGCTGGCTGAGTGTCCTGATGTGGAGAGCGTCTGTGTAAGTGTGGCTGGCTGAGTGTCCTGATATGGAGAGTGTCTGTGTAAGTGTAGCTGGCTGATTGTCCTGATGTGGAGAGTGTCTGTGTAAGTGTAGCTGGCTGATTGTCCTGATGTGGAGAGTGTCTGTGTAAGTGTGGCTGGCTGAGTGACCTGATGTGGAGAGTGTCTGTGTAAGTGTAGCTGGCTGAGTGTCCTGATGTGGAGAGTGTCTGTGTAAGTGTAGCTGGCTGATTGTCCTGATATGGAGAGTGTCTGTGTAAGTGTAGCTGGCTGAGTGTCCTGATATGGAGAGTGTCTGTGTAAGTGTGGCTGGCTGAGTGTCCTGATGTGGAGAGTGTCTGTGTAAGTGTAGCTGGCTGAGTGTCCTGATGTGGAGAGTGTCTGTGTAAGTGTGGCTGGCTGAGTGACCTGATGTTAAAAGTGTCTGTGTAAGTGCGGCTGGCTGAGTGTCCTGATGTGGAGAGCGTCTGTGTAAGTGTAGCTGGCTGAGTGTCCTGATGCGGAGAGTGTCTGTGTAAGTGTAGCTGGCTGATTGTCCTGATGTGGAGAGCATCTGTGTAAGTGTGGCTGGCTGAGTGACCTGATGTTAAAAGTGTCTGTGTAAGTGTAGCTGGCTGAGTGTCCTGATGTGGAGAGTGTCTGTGTAAGTGTAGCTGGCTGATTGTCCTGATGTGGAGAGTGTCTGTGTAAGTGTAGCTGGCTGATTGTCCTGATATGGAGAGTGTCTGTGTAAGTGTGGCTGGCTGAGTGTCCTGATATGGAGAGTGTCTGTGTAAGTGTGGCTGGCTGAGTGACCTGATGTGGAGAGTGTCTGTGTAAGTGTAGCTGGCTGATTGTCCTGATGTGGAGAGTGTCTGTGTAAGTGTAGCTGGCTGAGTGTCCTGATGTGGAGAGTGTCTGTGTAAGTGTGCCTGGCTGAGTGTCCTGATGTGGAGAGTGTCTGTGTAAGTGTAGCTGGCTGAGTGTCCTGATGTGGAGAGTGTCTGTGTAAGTGTGCCTGGCTGAGTGTCCTGATATGGAGAGTGTCTGTGTAAGTGTAGCTGGCTGAGTGTCCTGATATGGAGAGTGTCTGTGTAAGTGTAGCTGGCTGATTGTCCTGATGTGGAGAGTGTCTGTGTAAGTGTGGCTGGCTGAGTGTCCTGATATGGAGAGTGTCTGTGTAAGTGTGGCTGGCTGAGTGACCTGATGTGGAGAGTGTCTGTGTAAGTGTAGCTGGCTGATTGTCCTGATATGGAGAGTGTCTGTGTAAGTGTAGCTGGCTGATTGTCCTGATGTGGAGAGTGTCTGTGTAAGTGTGGCTGGCTGAGTGTCCTGATATGGAGAGTGTCTGTGTAAGTGTGGCTGGCTGAGTGACCTGATGTGGTGAGTGTCTGTGTAAGTGTAGCTGGCTGATTGTCCTGATATGGAGAGTGTCTGTGTAAGTGTAGCTGGCTGATTGTCCTGATGTGGAGAGTGTCTGTGTAAGTGTGGCTGGCTGAGTGACCTGATGTTAAAAGTGTCTGTGTAAGTGTAGCTGGCTGATTGTCCTGATATGGAGAGTGTCTGTGTAAGTGTAGCTGGCTGATTGTCCTGATGTGGAGAGTGTCTGTGTAAGTGTGCCTGGCTGAGTGTCCTGATGTGGAGAGTGTCTGTGTAAGTGTAGCTGGCTGAGTGTCCTGATGTGGAGAGTGTCTGTGTAAGTGTGCCTGGCTGAGTGTCCTGATATGGAGAGTGTCTGTGTAAGTGTAGCTGGCTGAGTGTCCTGATATGGAGAGCGTCTGTGTAAGTGTAGCTGGCTGATTGTCCTGATGTGGAGAGTGTCTGTGTAAGTGTGGCTGGCTGAGTGTCCTGATATGGAGAGTGTCTGTGTAAGTGTGGCTGGCTGAGTGACCTGATGTGGAGAGTGTCTGTGTAAGTGTAGCTGGCTGATTGTCCTGATATGGAGAGTGTCTGTGTAAGTGTAGCTGGCTGATTGTCCTGATGTGGAGAGTGTCTGTGTAAGTGTGGCTGGCTGAGTGTCCTGATATGGAGAGTGTCTGTGTAAGTGTGGCTGGCTGAGTGACCTGATGTGGAGAGTGTCTGTGTAAGTGTAGCTGGCTGATTGTCCTGATATGGAGAGTGTCTGTGTAAGTGTAGCTGGCTGATTGTCCTGATGTGGAGAGTGTCTGTGTAAGTGTGCCTGGCTGAGTGACCTGATGTTAAAAGTGTCTGTGTAAGTGTAGCTGGCTGATTGTCCTGATATGGAGAGTGTCTGTGTAAGTGTAGCTGGCTGATTGTCCTGATGTGGAGAGTGTCTGTGTAAGTGTGGCTGGCTGAGTGTCCTGATATGGAGAGTGTCTGTGTAAGTGTGCCTGGCTGAGTGTCCTGATGTGGAGAGTGTCTGTGTAAGTGTAGCTGGCTGATTGTCCTGATATGGAGAGTGTCTGTGTAAGTGTGCCTGGCTGATTGTCCTGATGTGGTGAGTGTCTGTGTAAGTGTGGCTGGCTGAGTGTCCTGATGTGGAGAGTGTCTGTGTAAGTGTAGCTGGCTGAGTGTCCTGATGTGGAGAGTGTCTGTGTAAGTGTGGCTGGCTGAGTGTCCTGATGTGGAGAGTGCCTGTGTAAGTGTAGCTGGCTGAGTGTCCTGATATGGAGAGTGTCTGTGTAAGTGTAGCTGGCTGAGTGTCCTGATGTGGAGAGTGTCTGTGTAAGTGTAGCTGGCTGAGTGTCCTGATGTGGAGAGTGTCTGTGTAAGTGTGCCTGGCTGAGTGTCCTGATGTGGAGAGTGTCTGTGTAAGTGTAGCTGGCTGATTGTCCTGATATGGAGAGTGTCTGTGTAAGTGTGCCTGGCTGATTGTCCTGATGTGGTGAGTGTCTGTGTAAGTGTGGCTGGCTGAGTGTCCTGATGTGGAGAGTGTCTGTGTAAGTGTAGCTGGCTGAGTGTCCTGATGTGGAGAGTGTCTGTGTAAGTGTAGCTGGCTGATTGTCCTGATGTGGAGAGTGTCTGTGTAAGTGTAGCTGGCTGATTGTCCTGATGTGGAGAGTGCCTGTGTAAGTGTAGCTGGCTGAGTGTCCTGATGTGGAGAGTGTCTGTGTAAGTGTGGCTGGCTGAGTGACCTGATGTGGAGAGTGTCTGTGTAAGTGTAGCTGGCTGATTGTCCTGATGTGTCTGTGCAGGTTCAGCTCCAGTGATGCACTGGCCCAGCTGCCTGTATGGGTGCGGCCCTATGTAAAGAAGCCCCTCAACTTTGGACACTCCATCAGAGATATGATGGCTTTCTTCAAGACTGCTCAGAAGTCTGTGAGTAACATTCATTGCATATATTTCCTTCCACCAATTGTGGGCAGCTTATACAAGCTCATCGGACAGTCATCAAGAATGATTCATTGAACAACACAGAAACAAAGGGTTATCATGACCAACATTTAACTAATAACAGGAGTTTGCTGCATGGTCAGTGTCTCAGTTCTATGTATTCAGTTGAGGGGGTTGAAAACTCTTTGAAATGCCTTTTGCTATATTTTTCCAAATGGGCAGGATATTGCAATCAGCATGTCCGTCCGTCAGTTTTCCATTTCCAGAGCAGAACTCCTAAACCATTGAATATTTCTTGTTGAAACTTGCTATACTTGTGGTGAACTGGTGTCTTTTGATGATTAGGGATTTTTATTTGTGTTTGTTTTTTGTTTTTTGTTTTGTTTCATGACGACAATTTGCACTTATGCTCAAAATTTTGGATAATGCTCATTTCTTGAGCAGGACTCCAAAACTGTTGAATATTTCTGGATGAAACTTGCTATACAGATCTGATTAGGATGTTGGAAAATACTGAACAGCATTATTTCTTTCTTCACTGAACTGAAGGTATCCAATGGCAGTAAAACAAAAGTGGGGTAGAATTAGCCAAAACTCCATTTCCGAATAGCTCCAGATCAGGGGGATATGTCATCTGATGACTCTTGTCTAATCAAGACACAAACTGCTGTTGTGAAACTGTTGTGAATGGTTACAGATGCCAGCTCCTTGCATCAAGAAGAAGTCAACTCACTCTGAGGCAGCCGGGTGTCAGGGAGCCTACTTCATGCCCACATTCTCCAGGGGAACCACTCGAGGCAACATCGAGTATGAGCAGGCACGAACTATCCCGTCTCACGTCCCTAGTCTCAGGGCAGGTACAGGTGAGCGACATCTATAGTCCCTAGTCTCAGGGCAGGTACAGGTGAAAGGAGACATCTATAGTTCCTAGTCTCAGGGAAGGTACAGGTGATAGACATCTATAGTTCCTAGTCTCAGGGCAGGTACAGGTGATAGACATCTATAGTATCTAGTCTCAGGGCAGGTACAGGTGATAGACATCTATAGTTCCTAGTCTCAGGGCAGGTACAGGTGAAAGAAGACATCTATAGTTCCTAGTCTCAGGGCAGGTACAGGTGATAGACATCTATAGTTCCTAGTCTCAGGGCAGGTACAGGTGAAAGAAGACATCTATAGTTCCTAGTCTCAGGGCAGATACAGGTGATAGACATCTATAGTTCCTAGTCTCAGGGCAGGTACAGGTGATAGACATCTATAGTTCCTAGTCTCAGGGCAGGTACAGGTGAAAGAAGACATCTATAGTTCCTAGTCTCAGGGCAGATACAGGTGATAGACATCTATAGTTCCTAGTCTCAGGGCAGGTACAGGTGATAGACATCTATAGTTCCTAGTCTCAGGGCAGGTACAGGTGATAGACATCTATAGTCTCTAGTCTCAGGGCAAGTACAGGTGATAGACATCTATAGTTCCTAGTCTCAGGGCAGGTACAGGTGAAAGAAGACATCTATAGTTCCTAGTCTCAGGGTAGTTACTGGTGATAGACATCTGAGACCCCTAGTCTCAGGGCAGGTACAGGTGAGCGACATCTATAGTCCCTAGTTCTCAGGGCAGGTACAGGTGAAAGGAGACATCTATAGTTCCTAGTCTCAGGGAAGGTACAGGTGATAGACATCTATAGTTCCTAGTCTCAGGGCAGGTACAGGTGATAGACATCTATAGTTCCTAGTCTCAGGGCAGGTACAGGTGAGAGAAGACATCTATAGTCCCTAGTTCTCAGGGCAGGTACAGGTGAAAGGAGACATCTATAGTTCCTAGTCTCAGGGAAGGTACAGGTGATAGACATCTATAGTTCCTAGTCTCAGGGCAGGTACAGGTGATAGACATCTATAGTCTCTAGTCTCAGGGCAGGTACAGGTGATAGACATCTATAGTTCCTAGTCTCAGGGCAGGTACAGGTGAAAGAAGACATCTATAGTTCCTAGTCTCAGGGCAGGTACAGGTGATAGACATCTATAGTTCCTAGTCTCAGGGCAGGTACAGGTGAGAGAAGACATCTATAGTTCCTAGTCTCAGGGCAGGTACAGGTGATGGACATCTATAGTTCCTAGTCTCAGAGCAGGTACAGGTGATAGACATCTATAGTTTCTAGTCTCAGGGCAGGTACAGGTGAGAGAAGACATCTATAGTTTCTAGTCTCAGGGCAGGTACAGGTGAGAGAAGACATCTATAGTTCCTAGTCTCAGGGCAGGTACAGGTGGGAGACATCTATAGTTCCTATCCTCAGGGCAGGTACAGGTGAAAGGAGACATCTATAGTTCCTAGTCTCAGGGCAGGTACAGGTGAAAGGGGCATCTATAGTTCCTAGTCTCCGGGCAGATACAGGTGATAGACATCTATAGTTCCTAGTCTCAGGGCAGGTACAGGTGAAAGAAGACATCTATAGTTCCTAGTCTCAGGGCAGGTACAGGTGATAGACATCTATAGTTCCTAGTCTCAGGGCAGGTACAGGTGATAGATGTCTATAGTCCCTAGTCTCAGGGCAGGTACAGGTGAGAGAAGACATCTATAGTTCCTAGTCTCAGGGCAGGTACAGGTGAAAGGAGACATCTATAGTCCCTAGTCTCAGGGCAAGTACAGGTGAAAGGAGACATCTATAGTTCCTAGTCTCAGGGAATGTACAGGTAAAAGAAGACATCTATAGTTCCTAGTCTCAGGGCAGGTACAGGTGAAAGGAGACATCTATAGTTCCTATCCTCAGGGCAGGTACAGGTGAGAGAAGACATCTATAGTTCCTAGTCTCAGGGAAGGTACAGGTGAGAGAAGACATCTATAGTTCCTAGTCTCAGGGAAGGTACAGGTAAGAGAAGACATCTATAGTTCCTAGTCTCAGGGCAGGTACAGGTGAGAGAAGACAACTTAGGCCCCTAGTCTCAGGGCAGGTACAGGTGATAGACATCTATAGTTCCTAGTCTCAGGGCAGGTACAGGTAAGAGAAGACATCTATAGTTCCTAGTCTCAGGGCAGGTACAGGTGAGAGAAGACAACTTAGGCCCCTAGTCTCAGGGCAGGTACAGGTGATAGACATCTATAGTTCCTAGTCTCAGGGCAGGTACAGGTGAGACACAACCATTGTCTCTAGTCTTGTCTGGAAGTTCTGGAATAGGTGTCCAGATAGAAATAAACTAATAGATTGCAGTAAAACATGTGATGTAATGAGTGAAGACGATTAAGATTTTGTAAATTTTGGTTTGTTTTTTCAGGGAACCAGTCACAAGCATTCTCCCAGCTAAGTCAGCAGTACAGAAGCAGTGGAAAGTCTTCACAATCCAGCACCAGGCAGAGTCTTCTCCAAGCCTTGGAACATGATGAGGTAAGGGAGATAACTCTTCTCAATCAAGCACCAGACAGCGACTACTCCAAGCCTTGGAACATGATGAGGTAAGGGAGATAATTCTTCTCAATTCAGCACCAGACAGTGGCTACTCCTGGCCTTGGAACATGGTGAGGTAAGGGAGATAATTCTTCTCAATTCAGCACCAGACAGTGACTACTCAAAGCCTTGGAACATGATGAGGTAAGGGAGATAACTCTTCTCAATCATGCACCAGACAGCAACTACTCCAGGCCTTGGAACATGATGAGGTAAGGAGATAATTCTTCTCAATCAAGCACCAGACAGTGACTACTCCAGGCCTTGGAACATGAGGTAAGGGAGATAATTCTTCTCAATCAAGCACCAGACAGCGACTACTCCAAGCCTTGGAACATGATGAGGTAAGGGAGATAACTCTTCTCAAACCAGCACCAGACAGCGACTACTCCACGCCTTTGAACATGATATGGTAAGGGAGATATCTCTTCTCAATTCAGCACCAGACAGCGACTACTCCAGGCCTTGGAACATGATGAGGTAAGGGAGATAATTCTTCTCAATTCAGTACCAGACAGTGTCTACTCCAGGCCTTGGAACATGATGAGGTAAGGGAGATAACTCTTCTCAATCAAGCACCAGACAGCAACTACTCCAGGCCTTGGAACATGATGAGGTAAGGGAGATAATTCTTCTCAATCAAGCACCAGACAGCGACTACTCCTGGCCTTGGAACATGATGAGGTAAGGGAGATAACTCTTCTCAAACCAGCACCAGACAGTGACTACTCCTGGCCTTGGAACATGATGAGGTAAGGGAGATAATTCTTCTCAAACCAGCACCAGACAGTGACTACTCCTGGCCTTGGAACATGATGAGGTAAGGGAGATAACTCTTCTCAATTCAGCACCAGACAGTGACTACTCCTGGCCTTGGAACATGATGAGGTAAGGGAGATAACTCTTCTCAATTCAGCACCAGACAGTGACTACTCCAGGCCTTGGATCAATTTCTACCCAATATGCGACACCTTTTAGTGATAGCATTTTGAGTTCCACAATCAGGTTGTCATTGTGAGCAGCTGGGAACAGGAGGGAAGGGAAATAACTCTTCTCAATCCAACATTGAATTGAATTTCCTCCAGGCCTTGGAGGTAACACACAACCAACTGATTTCCAATACATTTCTAAAGTAAAACTTTTTAATTTTTTTAAAATAGCTGAACATTTAACAACTTTTACATGCACATGTGTGCACAGTCTTGCCTAAAAGCAGCAATAAAATCTAAAAACTTGACAAGCTTCGCTAGCTCCTTTTCTGATTTCAGGAAGATAAACACACCACCCCCAGGTGTAAAATGTCACTTGCTTGACAATATCTGTGGTCACATTCAGCATAAGTCATCTTGTAAAACACAGCACTAAATATAGAAAAACATGGTCAGTTTAAATTACTGGATTACATTTAACATTTAAAAAACATAAAAATCTCACTCAAATTCATCCAATCACAGCTGCCAGATGAGTTAAATACTGGTCAAACGACAGATTCTGATTAGGTGGAGTAGAACCTGTAACACGGCAAAGTAAGAGAGGTAACTCATCTCATACCAGCACCAGGCAGGGTCTGCTTGCCCTGGAACACGGCAAAGTAAGGGAGATAACTCTTCTCACCTTCACATATTTCCTGCCCACTTGGTTGTACGGAAGTGTTCCTGGGTTTTATTCCTCTTCTGAACAGCAGGAGCTGTTACTGATTAACGTCAGATTAAAGGATATGGTGGCATTGTTAGGGCTGACGTACCATTCTATTGGTACCGAAACCAAAGGCTAGAGATAGTGCGCTCAGACACATTGAATGCCCTGGCTACAGCCGATTGTGATTTCCTATTTCCAGTGGTCTGACTTGGCTGTTGTTGTGCTTCAGTTAGTAACGGCATGACTTCACAGTTCAAAAGTGGCTAACAGAATATGTTTTGGCAACTGAGAGACGATGTGTCATGTACTTAACAAATACATGCCTCGTTCCCATGGTTCTTTTGTGGAGTTAAATTCCTGTGTTATGTTTGGGTTATGAGTGTTGCCTCATTTTCAGGATTCCCACAATGACATTGTTAGCTTTGTACCAAATGACATCATTTTCATGCTTCACATATTGTTCATGTGCTAATGTCTTTCATGGAATTATATTTATATCACATGTGGTTCATGTAGGAGGTTTGTAAAAAGTCATATTCAATGGCCATCGAGTTAATCCTGTTATTCAACTCTACTTATGACTTTTTGTCTGAAAATGTTTCACTCCCAATAGCACCGCAAGAACTCACGTTTTAGAAATGATCACTTCACTTAGGAATGTATTATCAGCAATTCTCATATATTCAGCTATGTTTGAGGAGAAGTGTTTTATAACATATATTCAATGAGAAGAATTTATTTTACATATAACACTATGTCTGAGAAGTGATTTGTTTTTTACTTTCAAACCAGTACTTTATTTTCAGAAACATGTTGAGGATTCCAGTGTTTCATTTGACACCCAGGTAAGATTTACCATTTTACACCTGTGCTAGAGGAGTGTTCTGATTTAATTCCCCAGGAGTCGCCTACTGACGCAAATGGCGACTGGGTTATATGAAAGTTCCCAAACAGTTTAGTGGAATCATTACAATATTTGCACCCAATTCCACCAATACAATGAGACCAGATATTTTACCAATTTTGTTCCAAAACAAGTAATTTAAACTAATTACTGACCTTGCTAGAGTCATTGTCACAACCAATCATTCATTGGATTTATCAAAGTGGGCATTTTCCAGTGAGTGATCTCAGTCAGCCAGATATACTAGAGCATATATACTACACATATGTACTACACATATATACTACACATATATACTACACATATGTACTACACATATATGCTACACATATATACTTCAAATATATACTACACATATGTACTACACATATATACTACACATATATACTACACATATATACTGCACATATGTACTACACAAATATACTACACATATATACTGCACATAAATACCACACATATATACTACACATATATACTGCACATAAATACCACACATATGTACTACACAAATATACTACACATATATACTGCACATAAATACCACACATATGTACTACACAAATATACTACACATATATACTGCACATAAATACTACTCATATATACTACACATAAATACTACACATATATACTGCACATATATTCTTCAAGTATATACTACACATAAATACTATACATATATACTTCAAATATACACTACACATAAATACTACACATATATACTACACATATATACTTCAAATAAATACTACACATATATACTTCAAATATATACTACACATATATACTACACATATATACTTCAAATATATACTACACATAAATACTACACATATATACTACACATATATACTTCAAATATATACTACACATAAATACTACACATATATACTTCACATATATACGACACATATATACTACACATATATACTACACATATATACTACACATATATACTTCAAATATATACTACACATATAATACTACACATAAATACTACACATATATACTTCAAATATATACTACACATATATATTGCACTTATATACTTCAAATATATACTACACATATATAAATTGCACATAAATACCATGCATATATACAACACATAAATACTACACATATATACTTCACATATATACGACACATATATACTGCACTTATATACTTCACATATATACTACACATATATACTTCAAATATATATTACACATATATACTACACACATATACCTTAAATATAAACTACACATATATACTACACATATACTCACATGCAAAAGAAACGCAAGTCGAGTATGCAGTATACATGTTATTTATTTTCAACAGTAAAGACAAGAAATACTAATAGGGCAAGATTGACAACAATTCGATTGTAGACAGTTTAATGGATTAAAAGGCAGATGACATTATTGTTTTTTTTCAAATGTTAAGGGCTTACACAGTTTAGGGTCAATACCCAAAATGTCAGTCAATACCTGGTGTGACCACCATTAGCATTGATCACTGCCACACATCTCCTGTACATTGAGTGGATCAGACGATTTGTGAAGGCCCTAGGGATCCTGCTGCACACATCCAGAGCAGCTGTGCGTAGTTCATCGGCATGTTGTGTTGTTGCAGAAAGGCCATGGTAGCTCTGGCAACATGGGGACAAGCGTTGTCCTGCTGGAAAATGTGTTGTTGATGTTGTGCAAAAAAAGAGAACAACGTGGGGTCTGATCACTTGGTCGATATACCGCTGAGCAGTGACGCCGTGTCCCCGACCTTGACCAACATTCAGAAAGCACATGGGTCCAAGTCTGGCATTAAGTCCAATCCCTGCCCATATCATGACGCTAGGTCCACCCCATGGATCCCTTTCCACAACGTTTCTGTCAGCTAAACGATCACCTCGACGCTGCCAAATTCAGACTCTTCCGTCTGCATGGGAGACACATAAGCGACTCACGATGATGCCAATTGTGATGACCCTGTGCCCACTGAAGTCATGCTTGTCGATGAAATGGTTGGAGAACAGGACGAAGTGCTGGTCGGCGACATCTGAGGTTGTTGGAACGGAGACGTCGGATCAAAGTGTCCTGGCTAATGTGTCAATTATGTGTTCCTATGGTCTGTTGAGCACTTTCACTTGCAGTTAGGAACGGATGTCGCTGGTGTTGACGGGTAATCTGCCGATCTTGTCGAGGTGTGGTCACCCTAGGACGACCGCTCCGAGGAAGGTCATCTGTGGTCTGTGTAGCATTGTATCCATGCAGGAGACAGTAAATTGTGGTTATGTTAACGTTGAAATGACGGGCAACATCTTGGACAGACTCTCCAGCTTCCAAACATCCGATAGCCTGGTTTATCTGAATTTGAGTTAGGCATGGCATTGTTGACCAAGGAGTGGTAGGTCCAAGAATCGGCCACAGTTTTATACCCACTACAGTTCGTGACAGTTCGTGCAATTTCGATTTAGCGAGAAATGGGTGCATGATACCCACATATTCATTGAAATGGTGTGTTTTGGCGATTCGTTTTTTATGTTGCATTTTAACTCTGGGCTTCCAAAATGCAACCAAAAATACTGATAACACCATCAGGCTTCACTACATGCTAAAACTCGTATCAATTTATGGTTCCGTGTTTGTTACCTATTTGCTTAAAACCACTTGCGTTTCTTTTGCGTTTGGGTATATATACTTCAAATAAATACTACACATATATACTACACATAAATACTACACATATATCCTACACATATATGCTTCAAATATATACTACACATATATACTACAGATAAATACTACACATATATACTTCACATATAAACTACACATATATACATCACATATATACATCACATAAATACTACACATTTATACTACACATATATACTACACATGTATACTACACATAGATACTACACATACATACTACACATACATACTACACATAAATACTACACATACATACCACACATTTATACTACACATTTATACTACACATGTATGCTACAAATTTATACTACACATAAATACTACACATATATACGACACATATATACTACACATATATACTACACATACAATAAACTCAATAAACTGATAAGATTTAATTCCAAGTCGATGTACACATGTGTGTATTTGTAAAACAAATACGTTCATTGTATCAGGCTGCATGTGATCGAAACCATTCTGCCTTTTGTTCCGGTTGTGAAAAAACATATCGTTCACAGATCTGGCATTAAACTCACATAAAATCAAATCACAGCAACAACAAACATAAGCTGCATTGTTTGATTAAATACTCATCTCAGCTTGTTGTGATTGGTAAGACAACATGTGAGTTGTCTTCGAACTTCAAACCAGCCGCGTGTAAAGGGGCATTCACACAGTACAACTAGTTGTATACAATTTGTTGCATGCAACACATTGCATCATGTGAACGAGCAAGTCGGTCCAACTTTTGCCGTATGCAACTTGTTGGACGTGAGTTGTACGAAATAGGACATGCTCTATTTTCATGTGACAAGTTGTATGAATGCAGCCAATCAAAACGCGTATGAAAATCACATGACATTTTGACGTCAATTTGTAAACAAAAATGGCGACTCCGATTCACGTCGGTAACTTCTATTTTTCGGTATCCTAAGTGTCACCACTCAATAAAGGACCTATGAAAAGTAGGTACATAGAATACCACTGTACCAAATTATATATTTTGACATTTGCATCGGTCTAATTCTCCTAGTTAAACTGTTCATGGTGTTATTTGAAATGACAGGCTATGTGACTGTACACTGTAGTGTAGACCAAGATGAGATTAGGTCCATAATACGTTTCTCAAACTTAAAATGCACACAAATACACGTCACAGTTTTAGATTCTGTGGGAAAGTATCTATATGCCATTAACAGCTATTTGGGCCAAAGCATATGTATCTCTGACGACATCTAAAAATAGTGTACAACGAAAAAAATGCCATTTTCGCATTTTACCAATTCACTGTTCTAAACATGATTATTTATTTAAATAAGGTATAGCTACAAGAGAAGTTCAATTACAAAACCATTGGGTGTCTGCTCTTTGTCAAAACACCAATCATCATTCCGAAAAGACTCCAATAACCCTATATTCGTTTTCGAAACATAAAAACTTTGGACCGAACCTCCATGTTGATAGCGTTGGAAAATCACGGTTCTTTTCGAGTCAGGTGAGATGCCTGTCACATCACATGTATTTCACACTCAGCTGAGATACATACATCCCTGAATTCATCATACCATTAAGAATCAATTGACATTTTGTCCAAGTCACTAATACAAACGGTCCTAATGAAATCAACCGCAATATTCAGGTGTGAAACCAAACCCTTTGCTCTGAAACCTACCAGTGGGCCTTCTCATTTACAAATGTAAACAAAGCAAACTTCTAGTTTTACTTAACATTTTCTTCTATTCCGAGAGATTCGGTCGTCAATTTGTTGCATACATTAGCTCAGATTATTACAAATACCGGTATGCATGGGCCTATAATTGTGAAATATTCATTGTGGCAAATTTATATAGATAGGTTAAATAAAACATGCACTTCATTTCTTAAATTAAAGAAAATATATACCTGAAGGAATTAGTCACGTTATATTTGGACAAAAAGAGGACATAATTCTACCAACGACTTGGTATGATCATGCCAGACATCAGTGATTTGTCCAGACAAGAGCAAAGACAGCACAAGTAAAATTCTAAAGGTTTTATCAGCAATAGGTATTCAATGCATATTTACCGAAAAGTAAGAGAAAAATATTTTTATAAGTCAACAACAAAATATCAGAAATAATATTCTAAGATTGTTTATAAAAAAAATTGGATGACAATAATTTGTCACAAAATGGAAAAATGTTAAAAGTCAACAATAAATTCATAAAAAGCACTCCTAGTATGCCCAAAGTATG